GAGAGAGAGAGAGAGAGAGAGAGAGAGAGAGAGAGAAAGAGAGACAAACACACAGACAGACACATAGACAATCAGACAGACATAGAGAGAAGGATGGAGAGATGGAGGGAGGGACGTACAGGCGGACAGATGGACAGACAGAGAGAGGTACAGACCAATGGATAGGCAGGATGAAAAGAGAACCCCCCTTAAAACAAGAAGACCATGACTCGCTGACTCATCTGTCTTCCTCAGTTACCGCCTGGCCCCGGACCATCCCTTCCCGGCGGCCATCCATGACTGCTTGGATGTCACTCGCTACGTGCTGGGTCATGGTGACCGCTTCGGTGTTGACGTGCGAAAAGTGGGAGTGGCCGGTGAGGTTTTTAGGTTACTGTAATAAACTTGTCTACAATACGAGCAATTAAAAACTAAAAACCAACTGACGTCCAAAGGCGTACCCTACGAATGATTGGAGCAATATAGAGCCAGGATCGGGCCCAACAAAGAGGGAGTTATGCCAAATATCCCCCCTTCTTCTTCTGCTTTATTGTAAATTTGAATATTACAACACGTCTCTGCTGTACTTCTGTATCGCACCTAGCTGGGCAGGACCTGACAGGCCGGGTCAAAGCAGCCGGCCTCCTAAATCATCTACTTTGTGTTGTTGAGGGTGTGAAACATTGACAGTTACACTCATTTATAAATATAATTTACGAAAAGACTTTAATGTCTTAGTTTTTTTGTTTTTTTTGAAGGCGGGGGGAAGTAAAAGTAAAAGAGCAAAAATTTGAAGTGTGATATCGGTGGTCTAGTGGGTGGGCTGTTGGGCTTAAAGCTGAAAGGTCGTGGGTTTGAACTCTGTCAGGAGCCTGACATTGTGTCTTGAGGATGGGGAAAGGCACTTCACATGAATTTCCAAACTTCCCCTATGTAGATATGGGTACCTGTCTTTAGACAGCAAAAGACCTTTCCAGTTTGTTAGTGTTTGAGAGCGGAATCTGCTGCTGTTTCTGAGTGTTGTAGAATTTTCTGAGGTACAAGATGTAATATAGATGGTTAAGTGCATAGAGCTTACTGTTGGGTGGGGATATACTCTATATAAATGTTATTTATTATTATCATTAAGGAAAAAAAAAGTAAGGGGGGATGAAAAATGTAAAGGTAACTAAAATGCTCATTGCTATTTTCTGGTGTCCAGGTGACAGTGCGGGAGGAAATCTTGCTGCGGCGGTGTCCCTCAAACTGTCCAAGGAGAAGTCCGATCTCCCCCCTCTGATATTTCAAGTGTTGCACGTACCAGCACTGCAAGCATTCAACATGAGACTTCCTTCCTTCATTGACAACGATCTGCCTGTCCTGAGGGCATTCTCTATGAGTATTTTTTATGCTCTGTATTTGGGCTTTGGTGAGTTCATTTTGGAAATACACACACAGACATATTGTTGGCCAGTTGTTCAGACATAAAATCTAAGCCCAAAATTTTGAATAAAGATAAAAGAAAAATTGCACTTTGATAAACTGTGCTAGAGAAGTATGTGTGGCTTCATGGTTGTAGAATCTTTGCTCACCTTGTAGAAGCAGATTCTTTTGATGAAGCTGGATAATGAAGATAGGGGGCCCCCTTCTGGATGATGATGTTTCTGCTTTTTTCGCGATCTAGATACACAAAAGGCCTGAATGGCCACAGTTCTACCACCCACTCGACCTACTCGGTCCCTTGTTGATGACACCAGTGAGTGCACGGGTCTTTCAAGTCTTGTGAATCTTTTCAGGTCCGTGCGGGGTCAGATTTTCGCTAGTACAGACTTGCCGGTGTCATCTTATTCTTTTACACCACAGTTGTGAAATCAGTCAATTGTCAAAAAATGAAATAGAAGAAATCAACATTTTTCCGGTTGTTGGGCATTTTTTATAGAATTTTTTTATGGCTCGATACCGTTTACGTTAATTTGAAAACACATTTCTGTATGTATTACAGAAAAATGTTGATTAAAGGCACAAAAAACTTTATGTTAATTTGCATTTTTCAAGGACGCTCATGCTTTGGATGTCAACAAATTTTGGCATCCATTTGCGTGCTAATTTTTCCTCTTGTGAAAAAAATTTGCTCTGTGGGCTTAAGGGGTCTTAAAATTGCTACTGACAAAAGCTATTTTTGTTTTTAATACATCTTTTCAAACTAAACTTTCTCATAATATGCAGTAACCTCCAGGAAATAATTCAAAAAGAAAAAAAATATTTCAACCCCAATATGTTATGTAATACCGGCGGCTGTATTGAGATTATATAATACTTAGAAAAATCCTAAAATTTTGAAAACCTAAAGGCATAATGTTAATTTATTTTACTAATATCAATTTTGTAGAAGTAGTTATAGGTAACTGACTCATGTTTTTGAATATTCTTCCAATATTCTGGAATTTCTATGTCGTTTTTTTGTTTGAAATTTTGAGCTTAAAATGGCTTTCAAAAGAAGATTTCTGGAGCATTAACTATTTTAAAAAAATCTTCTCAGTGACTTGTAACAACCAAATATGCACATGTATGAAACGTTTCAACACGATATCTTGATTAGTAGCTGAGATTTTAGGACTCTAGTGACATAGGATCTTTAAAAAAAAGTTTTTTTTGGAGAAAAACGCTTGAAAAAATGTCACTAGTGTTATTTAATTACTAGTTTCTACCAGAGGTTCCAGTACCACATATACTATTTTTTCTAATCATGTGCAAAATGTTTTGTCTGTACCGTTACAAATAACCTCACAACTAGAAGTTTAGTGAACCGAGTAGGTAGGCACAAAATGTAACAAAAACAGAGGAAAAGTGGCCTGGCGGTCAAAGGGGG